CCACGCAAAAGTCATCATCGAAAAATCTTCCGCTGGTGCAGTAATACTTTCATGCCCGCCTAATAGTTTCGGATATGTGGTGGCCATTATCAATATCGCGACATTTTTTCTTTTACCAATTTTTTAGTGTCGTCTAATTACCAGGAGAATAGGAATTGAAAGCAGGCAGGCTGGCACTCTTGAAGAGGCAGTCCGTCAAACTCTTCACCGATACATACCCGCTCGCAGGATCACCAAAATAAACTCGTTCCATTTACTGACTTGCTCCAGAAGAGTTTCGCTTCCATGATATTCCCTATATGCGTACTACATATATAGTAGAGTAGTAACGCCAGCCCAAGTTAGTATATAGTAAACTATGATCAAGAAAATACATATGTAGAAAGGGTGAAGGCGACCTCCATGTAACTTATGCGCGCCTGGTTGTTTGGCTTGGTTTATTTGGAGAGTTTGAAATGATGCACGCAAAACGCACGAACCAGATTTATTTGTATGCGCTCCGGATAATTTTCAATATGTGCCTTCTTCTGAGAGGGGCGGTCACAATTTATTTATTTTTGTCAAAAGTTGTTCGAATAGTCAACAAATTACCAGGAGAACAGAAGGCAAGTATTTTATACCGCATTTTAAAAGACACGACCGAGCGTTTTTTCTGCCCCTTCATTTCGCCTGATCGCACGATCAAAAACAAATACTTGTTTCGTTTTCTTATTCGTTCCAGCATAGTGTCTTACGTTCATGATATTCCCTATGCATTAATAAATACCAAATATGCGCATAAATGCATCCATACATACGTACATATGCGTACATACATACATAAATACTTTTGTATTTAGTTAATGTGATAAATTAGTTACTGGTGTGGTAAGCTACATATGCGCGCTTTTTGCGCGCCTGGTTGCAGGACTTGCCTTATACATACATATGCCTAACAAATTTCCCAGAGGAAGAGGGGCCCAGCCCCTACTCTCGTCTTTCATGACATCGAGTTAAAAGTTTATAATAAGCTTATTTATTTTCTAGGTAAGTTTTTTTTGTTTTTTGATATTTAAAGTAAATTTTTTCGCGCTTTAATTTTACGGAATCGCCGCGTCAATGCTCAATTCATATAGTCTTAAACACTTAGCTTTATTATTAAAAAAAATTAAATAAATTAAATATTTAATAAGTTGTTTCAATAATTTTACACAACATTGGATACTTACAAACTTCCTCATACGTCGAAATTGTCAAATAACGTCTAAAGAAATACATACGAAAAATAAGGTTTATATTTTAATCTTTATTAAATTTTTATTATCACCCCTATGCTGTAATCCGAAAGTTCGTAGTTACGAATTCGTAGCTCCGTTCCGAAAATTCGAAAATTGGTGTGCTGTAATCCGATCGTAACTATCAACGGCGTTGCCAACTAAAATAGTGAAATTCGAAGTTCTTAATCAGCTGCTTTGACAGAAACAAATCAAAATAAATATAATCGCAAGTGAACAGTGAAATTAAAAAAAAATGTTTAATCGTATTTGAAAAAGCTTTTCCTTAATTAAGTAAAATAGAATGGATTCAGTGGCCGGTGCACTTTTGTCTCAGGAGGAAGAACATGCTGCAGTCAACTGTTGCATTAATATACAAAGGAGATTGCTACAAGACAGTTCTGATCCATTTAGCTTAAATGATAAATATATGCTCCCTCTTTTTAAGGGCGTCCATTCAACTAAATATTGTGTTGCTTTAAATCTTGCAACGCTTTCCCAAAATTCCACCACATCCTCTTTAACTATTACAAAGCCTCGGGCAATGTCCGGTCTTTCGCTCATGCATTCCTCCAGTTTTTCGTATTGCGAGCGATTTGTTCTGATTGTCGACTTGATAATTTTGTAAACATTTAATAATACATTGTTTTTTATTCACACTTCAACTTACATACATATTTTTGCGTTTCCACACTTTATTTTATTGATATTTTAAAAGAATTCGCTTCGCTCCGACACCAGTTGCTCTTCGTAGAAAATTTCCGACAAATACATACAAATTACAGCTACGTCGGATTCAGGCATACCAACATTACGAATTTCGAAGATGGTCTCCGAATTTCGAAATTACGATACGGCAACGCGGATTACAGCATACCAATTTTAAGATTCGTAGCAAAATCGAATCTACGACGGATTACAGCATAGGGGTGTATAACTCTCTACAAATATACTAAAATATTCAAGAAGTGCGTATTCGTTCCTATTTTACACCCTAATGGCTTTTTTCAAAAACTAGTAAAAATATTTAATTTTCTCACAAAGTATATTTTTTTAAGTCCAAGCTTATGAGCTTATTGTTAAGTTTTAGTGTTTTTTGCTGGCTCCAATTTCTGTTAAACAGTTTTATTCGAATTGTGTGCATTAGGTCTGATATTCAATTCGTTTTTTAAACTCGTACTAGATCACTCAGATTTCATACATACATATGTACTTATGTGCATATAACAGCCGCCCTAAATTGAATGAAAAATCTAATTTCCTAATTGTCATCTTGCAAAGTGCGCGCGAATAGCACAAATCACCGTGTCAGCAAAAACAAGCGTTTCCATTCCACATGTACCTGTATTCAGTGGTCATCCCGTTAATTCCCGTAATCCCGTAATATTTTGTTGTAGCTGTAAGAGAAATTGAGAATATAATAATTAGCGTGCGCCTACACAGGTAGTAGCATATTCATATTTACATATGTACATAAATATCAATACTTATATATATGTATATGTGAATTTTCGTGTCTGCAAGCTGGGACTTGACAAAAATATTAGAGAGAATTGAGATCGACCTATTGCATTTCATAATCGCTTGATATTACTCATTTTATGCCCACAGTACCGAAAAAACAGGTATGTAGAAAAAATATGTAAATTATATTAGGCTGGGTCGTCAGTGTATATTTTAAATAAACCTTTGGTTATAAATACATACATACACATGTAAGTAATATCAATCGAATGTAAATATGCAGTACGATTTTCCGACCACTTATAAGAAATGTTTTGAACTACATAATAATGAGCCCATACTCTGAATGCCATAAATATGTATCAATGAAACTTTATTTTATGACCTGCTTAAAACTTTTTAAACTAAATCGCATTGGAAAAATATGCGAATTTAAAATCGAAAACAACTGATTTTATTTATAAAGTAAATATAATAATACGAAAATATACCTACAAATTTCTGGGACACTCAATGCCAAACGGATCATGATTAGGCAGCTACTTGTTATAACCAATCAAAGAGGAGTAATTTTAAAATTAATGTGTTTTCCTTCAAACTCTATAACATATAACATGGCGGTGGAAAACTTTGATGTTTTAGGGAAAATTTACAAGGATTAAAGTAATCTTAAATTAAAAAAAAAACTCAGGAGTTGGAATTATGATTCGTCTTGATAGGTGTGCCTTTTCAAAATACGATACTGCAGATCCAAAGGAACACATGAGTGAAATAGTACACAGAGAAAAAAGTACCCTTCTTCAAGAAAATATGAATGTAGTTTTCTCAATCTAGCAACGAAAATCTTATTCATAATATCAATAGAGAATAATTTTATACTTTCTCAGGGGAAACCAGAGACCGTAAATAAAATTTACATACATAAGTATATTAAAATTTTGAAATCAAAAACCAAGGTGTCGATAAAAATCATAGTCACTGTTTCCATTTTTCCGAAATAAAATGTTTAAACTGGCTTTGAGTCAATATATTTACTAATTTTACTAATTATTCCGACACATGAACTTTTCTTTCAAAGTTTATACTGCTGGCAAATGTAAATAGGGATTAAAATTTAAAAGCTAATTAATACAGCTAAAGTAAAATCTGTGGAAAATTAACAATAAAATACTCTTTTCGCAAAATCTATAAAGTACCCTTTTGTTTCTCAAAAAAACCTGGGTGGCAGTTATTCCAGTCCAGGACATTTCCAAAAAAGTGGAAGTGCACCTTAAAATTACCAGAATCGAAACGGTAATAGCCCGAGGTACCCACTTTAAGTTTTTTTTTACTATAATATGTAGCATATTTTAAGTGCAGTGAATTATTTAGAAAAGGACGGCATTTATTTTTTATAGATCCTTCTTTTTCATAATAAATACTAAACATTTTTTATAGATAGGCTCCTCTGGTCCTGATGGCCTCACATGTAAAATGAATTTGTTTAGTTTTCTTTTAACAAAACTATTTATTGTACCCATGTCTTATTTATGGCAAATAAACGAGGTTTATTTTTAAAGTTTATTGTATAATAAAACGTAGTTTTTTACTTGGTAACTTTTAGAATTTACGCGTTTCCATGAATACCGAAAATATATTTTCTTTCTTATTATCCAAATAGCCCTTCGCCTTTCGAGATTCGTATGAAAACGCGTCCGCGCGCTTTCTTTACTAATTTTTTTTCCATTCCTTGATTATTTAATTATATGCATCGGCATTTTCTTACTCTGACATGTCAACTGACAACTTTATGAAATATTCTTCTTGGTTGTATTAAAAGTTGCTTTTAGCGAAGGAACTAAGACTGCCAACGAATATTATATATGTATTTCTTAGTACGTATGAGTGTATGTAGTTGCAACCATACATACAAATGTATGCATTTCGAAGCTAAAGGGTTCAAAATCGATTTTTTTAACCATTTTTATGACTCGCTTTGTAGTATTGTCAAAAATTAAGCAATGAATAAACGCGGACAGTCTTTTCACTTAAATGTATTGTCACCAATTTAGACAATTGTTAAAAAGACTTGCAAGTGTTATCCGAAAATGACTTGTTTCCTGATGTCGATTCCCCTATAAAAGTGCGTCTGCTATGTTGTAAAACCATCAATTGTGCTCCGTTCTCGAACTCGAAATCATCAAGGCATCGAAAAATGTGGCCCAGGAATTGCTTCGTGCTTCGTAAGTTCTTAAGTAGTGGTACATATGTATATGATTTTCCTACTAACTTTTTGAATTCCAGTTTTTGGAGTTGTGCTATTAATCACTATAGCTATGACTCAAGCCCAGCCCCCAATTGGGGGACCCACGCCCCCAACTAGGAGACCTACGCCACCAACTAGGAGACCAACGCCCCCAACCAGGAGACCAACGCCTCCAACTAGGAGACCAACGCCCCCGACCAGGAGACCTACGCCTCCAACTAGGAGACCAACGCGCCCAACCAGAAGACCCAGGCCAACAACTATAACACCATAGTAGTATACATAAAAATTTTTAATTTTCTAAGAGCCAATTTGCGTCATAAATATGTTTAACTAATTCCTATAAAAAATAGTTTTGCTTGTAATAAAATTACGTGATTTTATATGCAACTTACTTTGTTTTAATTACAGTGGCAAATTTGTTTAAATACCTGGTCAAAAGTCGACAACTGGTGCAATTTTAGCTAAGCTTTGTTTAGTAATGTTTTGGGTTGTTTATTTTAAATTTCGCCACAAAATTTCGAAATTTATGGAAACTGAGGATCCTAATGGAGGCTGTATACGCTTAAAATAATCCCATTTTTAGCTAAACTAGTGTAGTGAAGTATTACTAGTCACCATGATACAATAATTTTTAGAAGGTAGTTTCACTTCTTCTTCTTATCCGCCATGTTAGCTATCTGACAGAAAACGTGTTTCGTATTTTTTGTTGTACCAACTTTTTCAAAAAAAAAATCCAGCTTTTGACGTTGGAAAAATAAAACAAAGAAAAGCCAAACATATAAGTAGAGAAATTTTCGAATATTTTGTAATAATTTTCTTCATAAAAAATTAACTGCTGCTTTTGTGGATATTGCTAGATGTAAGGACACAGCTATAAGAGCCACCGCACACCACAGACTTTATCGGCCGCCTATTTAAATGATAGGGCTCGCTTGAAATATGTACATGAAGATGTATGGAGGTGCGCACATTACACCAGCTTAATCGCTCTGACCAATAAGTTGTGGTGCAATGGAAAGACTAGCGAGCACATCTAAATTGGCGGCCGATAAAGTCCGTGGTGTGCGATGGTCTAATCCATTATAAACAAGAAATATTGCTGTTATATTTTCATTTTTATGATTTCATTCATGTGATTAGCAGTGGCAAAAATGTATGTATAAAATACGTATATTTATTATATATTATTAAAAATTAAGTGATCAGTTATGAAACATATACATCTTTACATGTTCTGTTAAAAAATATCTAAAATAACAAGCGATAATCCACAAGTTCTATATCGTAGCAGTGGCCACATTGCGTGTTTGTCACAGACACAGTTTATGTCAAAAATTTTTAAGTGAAACTACCTTCTAAAAATTATTGTATCATGACTAGTCACCATTAATATGTTTTCTGCTTTTTTATACCCGAGCGCACTTGTGCACAAGGGTATTATAACTTTGTTCATATAACAGTTGCTTGTAACAGGCAATACGAATCGGGATAGATATAGACATATGTATACATAAATGATTAGAATGAAAAGAGAAATCGATTAAACGGTGACTGTCTGTCCGTCCGTCCATCCGTCCGTCCGCACACGATAACTCCAGTAAAAATTGAGATATCTTGACGAAACTCGGTACGTGCGCTTCTTTTGGGCGTAGGACGGATGGAATTGAAAATGGGCAAAATCGGACAATAACCACGCCTACCTCCCATATAACGGTAATTTTCAGAAATACGAAAGCTGCAATATTTTAGTAACTACGGAAGATAATTCACTCAAAATTGATATTTACAATGGGCGGAGCCACGCCCACTTAGGATTACATGAGCATATCTTGGTAACCGCTGCACCAATTTTCTCCACAATTGGCACAGTTGTTAGCCTGGCTACAGCATACTAAATGGCAGGAAACTTTTAAAATCGGACAATAACCACGCCCACATCCCATATAACGGTAATTTGGATAAATACGCAATCTTCGATAAATCAGTAAATATTAAAGCAAATTTATTCTAAATTGATGCTTGCAACAATTCTTTACCAAGAAATACGTTTTTATAAAATTTTGGAAAATGGGCGTGGCACCGCCCACCTATGATCACATATATATATCTCGGTAACGTTTCTACCAATTTGTCCCAAACTCGGTACGGTTATTGTGCTTGCCACATAAATTCAAAGCGTTGAAAATTATTGAAATCGGACTAAAATTACGGCCGCTTCTCACATAACGGTTAATTTCAGAAATGCTTGAAACTTCAATATTTCGAAATTTAAGGACGCTAATTTACCCAAAATTGATACACCCCGGCTTACCATGTAGCGGTCGCTTTCGAAAAGGTGAAAATCATATATTTAATCTCTTAAGCGGGTTTCACTGTAGTTTTACTTTAACCTTTAATTTGATAAGTTTCAACTGTTAACACTTGAAGTCAGATATCAGTTTAACAGAAAGCTATTAAAGTGTAAAACTTGATTAATAATTTGCAAAGATAAATTTCATTATCCAAAGAGTGACGTGTGTGCTAACGACGCCGCCCATCTCACTGAGTTGATGGATTCGATTTCCATTTTTAGAGAAACTTTGTCAAAATATTTCCTGCATAGCGGCTTTATCGAATGTAGTTAATAGAATGTTAAGGTCCAATTTATGCGTTGATGGCATTATTATGTCCGAAAAAAAACTCTTGTAGGTGGGGACGGGTGGGACAGTATTTTGTGACGGGTGGTCGAGTCACTATTGAGGACACATAGTTCGTAAGTAAAATGAACACTACTGATTTGTGTAATTTTGATTGATTTGGTGTAATTTTTTGTTTTTGTGTATTTGGGCCCGCGTTCAAAATGCTCGCCTATAAAAATTAGTTTAATGGTCAGTACTGGTTAGTTCTAACTACTAATATCATAAATGCGAAAATGAGTTGGTGTGTTTGTTACGCTTTCACGGTTTAATAATTCAGCTTGATTTTGCAATATGGATGAAAGACGAAAGAAGTTTTTAGTTCGAAAACATTTTGAAGAGGGTTAATAAAGAAATAAATTACACCTGAACCAACGTAACTTTAATCTTCCCTTGCAATGGTCAAATTTTTATTTTGTACAATATTCTTTATTCAACAGGAGAGCGTGGCGCTTTTAGTCAAATATTTTTTTTTCCTGCAATATATTCTTAAAAAGAAGTGATGGACTGTCACACAGAAATTAATGATGTAACCAAATGTTTATTTGTTTTTTATAATTTATAAAAGCAAAAATTCAATTTAAACGTAAATATTTTTACGTATGTAGTATAGTTTTGGGCATACAATCGTTTAAATTTAGATAAATGTGAAATTTTAAGGAGTGTTTAGAGTTGTTTATTACAATCTTTTATTAAGTTTCACCTGCAATGCAACCAACTTTTAACAAGTTTCCCGATGAGCTAGAGCCTTGAAACTTCAAACTTAGCTCATAACCCGATGACAATGCAATATGAAAGAGGAATCCGCTAGGTGGCGCAGGTATCGATTTGAAGAAAAACCCGTATTTATGGTGCGATATGGTTCATATTTTTATATTACTGTAATGGAATGACATAACTCCACAACAACTTCAGCCGGTGCTAGGGTCGACTTTTCTGTTTTTTATTAACCACTAATAATTTGCTTACATTTTTTAATTACTTGTATTATTTTATTTTATTTTTTTTTTTGTAGTTGATAAGTGTAAAATATAATATATCAGCGCAAAGGTAAAGAAATTTAGAGTTCGAAAATATACAACACAAATAGATTTACCTTACAACCCCCAGATTTTTAGCAGAATATTTTTTGAAGACCCAAAATTACCTGCGGTTATAACAGGAATCAATGCTGATCAAATAGAAAGGTTAAACGAAGTGACTTCAAGCGGATGTATTATCTATCCAAATAAGTCAAATATGGTTTGAACCCCTGGCATCCCACGTCTTGTACAATGAATAAAATCTTAATGAATGATGCCATTGTAATGAAACACGCATTCCTACTCATTGAAAAGCTTTATGAGAAGCAGCGGAAGCACGCAAATTAAAAAAAAAAAACAATTTTAGAGAATCCGATAATAAATATATTTAGAATCGGTTACTTGTGAGTTCAAATCCTTTGAACAATAACTTAAATGAATTATTACAAAATGTAGGCAAGTCAAACAAAATATGTTTAAATAGTGTTTAAGTCGAAAATGTATTTAAAAATGGTAAACATCTGTTTAAAAATCTAATTAAATTTTAATCAGTTACTTTAATGCAATATAAAGGTAAAACCCGTATCTTTCAAACAGAGAATACAATTTTTAATTCGATCAAAAAACAACAAAGCTATAACTTCATGAAGCTGTAATTTGAAGAATACCAAGTAATAAACGTAGTGAGAACTCCTGCATATTTGTTTTGTTTACCTTTGTATCGCTGTGTTATGAACTATGAACCTAATTATATGCATTGGCTTTTTCTTACTTTGACATGTCAACTGACAACTTCATAAGATACTCTTATTGCTTGTATTAAAAGTTGCTTTTAGCGAAGGAACTAAGACTGCCAACGAATATTATATATGTATTTCTTAGTACGTATGAGTGTATGTAGTTGCAACCATACATACAAATGTATGCATTTCGAAGCTAATGGGTTCAAAATAGATTTGTTTAGCCATTTTTATGACTCGCTTTGTAGCATTGTTGAAAATTAAGCAATGAATAAACGCAGACTGTCTTTTCTCTTAAATGAATTGTCACCAATTTAGACAATGGTAAAAAGATTTGCAAGTGTTATCTGAATATATATGTCAGTCGCGGACGTGTGCGGACGTGTTTTTGCTGAGCCCTGTACTTT